TAATCTTACCGTAATATTTTTATGTACAGAATAATGAGACAAATCAATTAGTATAAAAAAAATAATTGTTTTTAAGAAAAAGTATGTAATTATTTACAATGTATTTTTTTAAACAATTATTTGTTTTTTCTTTACACTAATTGATTTGTCTCATTATTTTGTACATAAAAGTATTACGGTAAGATTATCGAAAACTAAATATTTTATGAGATATTTTATTTTTTATATCAAAATATGTCAGAATAAAATATAAAATAACTCAAAAAGTACTTAATGAAAAAATACTTTATTAAAGTGTTTTGAAAAGCTCTCAAGGTAAGCTATAAGAACATGCAATAAAAAATGGGGGGTTCCATTTAAGAAAACGTCGATCACATTGATCTCACCTTGAAAAGGTCACTCAAGGTCAAATCCATATTTTTATCATGTGGCCCCCTCCGAACCCTACAACTTTTGTTTGAAACATTTTTTTCGATAAAGCTTACTTTCCGAGATATTTTACAGTTTCAAGTTAAAAAAACTCACTCTGTATAATAACAATAATAAAGGCACACGCAATCTCGATGCTATAACAGGAAAATAATAGGAAACTTTCAGATGACAGGGTGCTTGTGGAAAAAACAGCGGGAAATAAAGATGCGCGATAAAACGAGCGAAATGACGACGAAACGCGGTAAAAATCAATCTAACTTGGCGCGCGCGAGCTTTTCGCGCGCACTCTTTTACGATCATCCATTTACATGGGAACGCGCTCTCATTTCACCGTCAAGATTCTTTCGACTCGTTGGAAAATATCAGCAACGGAGAGAAATTTCCACGATATTCGTGTATGTGTTGTCACCAGATGGAAATTGCATCGGCAATGCAATTTTTCCGTCGCGCGTTCCATCGTTGTCGCTTTATTAGCGGCATAAATATAAATACGTGGTGCCGATGTAAATCGTGAATTATTTAGCAGCGTATAATGATCCTTTCGACAATTTGACGCAAATTTTGCGCGGATGACATTTTTGCGCACGTTATGCATATTTAACGACCGATGCCTGCTCGTTTTTGCAGTTTTGTTCTTTAAAAGCACGTAAACCGATAATCCGCAACTTTTTTATTCCGTAGGATACGTGATTATAAAGATTTCTCCTATATAAAGAGAATTTATACGATAAATGTGAGTGGCGAAAATATTGAATAGCATGTATGCCAAGTAAAATCTGCATAAGAAAAAATTTTATGCAACAACACATCTTGATAACAGATACGTAAGCTTAAGAGTTTCTCTACGTAAACGCGTGGGCTTTATACATACCTTTGTTATAAGTAAAATAAATGAACAATTTATCTGCGCATATATTTCCGATAAATACATAAAGCAAAATAGAAAGCTAATACAAGTTACAATAATACAATTGTGGCAAGTGGTTTGCAAGTGTAATGACGATATTTAATACAATAAATGTAAGTAAAATTAGCATCTCGCGAAGCAATTTATTCTTGAAGTTCCGCAGCGGAACTGAATAGAATCTCTGTTCATATAACTCTCTGCAAATATTCCCAGGGATAATCTACCAAGTTTTGTTATCTTACTCATAAGTCATGAATCATATCGTATTTGTTATTTAACGAAATTAAAAATATACATTTGGTTTTCTAAAAGAAAATATAAGTACTTTGTGTCACAGAGTAAAAATATATTTTTTTAATTACACAAGTTTAATTTAAAATTAAATTTAAAAATATCATAACACAGAGAAATCACAAAATTATTCATTAAATCATTAAAGAATACTTACAAATTTTTTCCCTGATCATCTTACGCATATCACGGATAGTTGAAAACATCCGATTTGAGTCGTCATTCGAGCGCGTTCCCGAGTTCCGCCGCTTACATAACACAAAACATATAAAAACGGTGACGTGTAAATGACGTTTATCGATTAAAACACCCGGTAATGCCATTTTGGTTTTCGCTCCGCGAGTCGCATCTGCATTTGGATTACCTTGCGTCTCGATGATCGCGTTGAAATCTTTTCCGCCCGTCTGAAATTTCGCGAGCGTTGTATTTTTCGCCGTTGAAATTAAAAACCTTCTCGTAAACGTCAAACGCACACGGCCACGAACGTCGGCGAAACAACGTGAGAAACACGCGTACCGTTCGCGGTAATTATTATCCAGCTACCAGCGAAATCATACACGATAATTATAGCCGCGTGTAATTATCTTGGCGATCTGATACTTCTCCTTGTCTCTAATCGACATAATCGGCAGCAAACATGAACTGATCCTTAACGCGGGATACGTTGAAGGATATATATCGAGATAACTTTTAATTAATTACATTCCGCCGTTGTTGCAAAATTACTTAACGATAAAGATTATTCGATATTGGATAAATTATGAATAATATATATTAAATGAAAAATATAATAAAGTAAATATAATAAATATAGATGGGGATTATGCTAATAAAGATAAAATCTTAAACCAATAGTTTTAAAAATAGATAGAGATGCGCAAACATTTGCCAAATATGCAAAGATCAAGAACGTATCTTATTATTATATTTTGTAAAAGTTACCGTTTGCTTTGCATTTCCCAACATTTATCCGTAGAAGAGTCACATGAATAAAAATGAAACAAATACTGGAAACGAAAGTATGTCCTTCAAAAATATGAACCAAAAATATATTGTGATGTATTTTTCTTACAATCTTCTAAATCATCTTCTCTTTAATCTGAATTTTCTTTTTTATTCTTATGTTTTTATAGCGTTTGTTACAATGTTGACATAATCAACAGATATTTATTCGTAACCAGTAAGAGAGATATAAATTTATAAAATATATATGTTTATTCTCTTTTCGCAAATTATATCTGACTAAAAATGTATGTTAATTAAAGCGAAATTTAAAATATGATATTCGAGTTTGATAAAATAACTTACAAATGTTGCAAACCATAAAATAATTTCTCTTATCGTTCTCTATTTTTTTTTAAATTTGATGAATGAAATGGTACTATCGGTACGCGATATAATACAAGTTATTCTGCACTCCAAATAACACCTCCTATCTAGGACAACAAATCACAAGCTTGTGAGAGAAATAATGTATCAGATAGAGAAACTTTTTTGCATTCGAGAGAAAAAGTGGCTTATTATCGCACATGCGATAAGTGTGCATAAAATTACACGTTCGCTTTTCTATTCTTAGTTCTCGAGTTACGTACCGATAGAAGTTAAATGGATTTTTTGTTTTCACAAAATATCCGCGATATATATTTATTCTGTAAATGGCGAACGTTCGTTAAATTAATATCAGAGCAATGCAAAAATTGATTAATTTTCCGAAAGACGATTATCCGATAATCCTCAAATAATAATTCGCAATTTACAATTTACAATTATCCTCGAAAAATATTTAATACGACACGCATATGACGGAACATACGGTGAAACGTGCGTCGCTTTTCAGCATGAACGTGTGTTTGCGATTCCACCATAATTCCGTATAAGCTGATTAAACGATATGATTAACGCCCGACGTATATGCACGATGTACCGATGCTCGTTAGAGATTTTGCTTCAGTAAAGCGATTACGAAGGCATCTCCGAACCGTAAAAATCCACGCTTTGAGAGAAAAAGATGTGTCACACGTTTGATGCAGCTACAAGAAAGCTGCATCTTGTTGCCCGAGCAAGTGCCCGCACACACACACACACACACACACACACACACACACACACACACACACACAGACACATCTACAAGTAAAAACATTTTACCGTAAAATAAGGGAGAGCTCTCGTGAGGCGCGATCGATAGAATAAGAGAATCTTGTGCAAAGATTCCAGCGCGGAATTTTTAGGGAATGCTGCGTTTCCTCCGAGTTATTAAATTTTACACATACATAAGCATCGTTACGCTTATGTATTATTCTGCGATATTCACATATACCTATATGAAAAGAAGCGAGAGAAGGAAACGTGCATTGTCCTCGGAACGAACGATGTACTCTTTTCGCTGATACTGGTTTAACCTACTTTCGATTGTTGGAGAATCGCGCGCGGCGCCGGAAATGAAATTGCCGCAGCAACAAATTAATTCGTCACTCACCTCCGCGAAAAATTCCGTCATGAAATCATCCGGCGCCCCGACGTTGACGGACACATCGTCCGCCACATCGTCGTCATCCGACTGGGCCTGCAAAAAGAAATACAATCATTAGAAATAGAGGGTAGTACACTACAATATTCAAAGATGTTTATTTTTCTTTTTTTATAACTAATATCAGAATAATAACTAATGTGAATACAACAGAAGAATAAAAAAGAATAACAGACTAATGTGAATGACATCATAGAGAATATTTATATTTAATTCTATCCAATTAGAAAATATCAATTTTATTTTCTATTTTATATAAAGTGTTCCTAAACATATATATGTAGCGCAACCAAAAAGAAAAATAATTATTTTTCCATTTGCAAAATCATTTATTTCGAAAAAATAAAATCTATAAAAAATTGTAATATTTTGAATTATTTTTTTATAAAAAATCGGTTGTATCATCAATTCAACGATATTCCCATCTATATATTCATTTATTTATCTCTATAAATACTTATCTAAAAAATATTATTTTGCGTTCGACAAGTGAAAATATCATACAGTAATCGTTTCCGCGATACTTGATTTCCCGGAATACTTGGAACGGAATGACGATATAAAATTGTCGAATATTATACACGAAGCTCATCAATTAAGACTACGTCGGACGTGATTTATTCCAATGCGATAAACGTAAACGCACGAATATACATACATGACTAACGAGTTTTATCAGAGATTGCGTACGCAGACATGTATAGTACATACGCAATCTCCCATCCTGATAAGACTGACTTCCTCTCGCGTAACGTGGCACAACCGCTTTCAGTCGTACAATAATGATTTTGCCCTCGTTAGGATAATCTCATGTATTGTAATAAATATATTATCTTCGCGTAACGTTCGAATCAAATCGAATCAAAAGTTAAATCGCGGCTTTATTCTACAATTTGTCTTACATTTCTTATTCACTGAATAGATAATACTTTATATAAATTATAGACAAAATTGTAACAATAGATTTAGCTGTGAAAAATGCGTAATTGTTTACAAAACCATTATGCTGTAATCTCTTTTATATGGATAATAAATTATATTTATAACTGAAGTGCTTTAAGTGCTTGTGAAAATAATTTATTGCATTCCTTTCATCATCTTATATATCTTTTCCTTTGTCTTATCTTAACCAAGGAGAAATAACCGCTAAGGGCATTGTGTGATATACACAGACTTGGAATACTGGTTAATATTGGTAAACATTATTGTAAACTTTTATGTGAGCATTTTTAATATATTATATATAATTAATTCTGAAAAATATTTCTCTATATATATTATAAATATTTACGAGATACTATTATATACTTTTTTATCATTACTAAAATAAACATACATAGCTTAAATATTAATATTACGTAAGAAATTATATGGCAATTCAAGATTATAGGCACTAGTATATTTTGATCCGCGGTTTTCTCCTCGAACTTGGCCTTTATCTGTCTGATAAAATAAATAGTAATCATATCGCACTATCATATTGTTATCATAATCATATCGATTTAAATTCTAATACTGACTTTGTTACCGATTACTAATAATCCCATTCAAACAACTGAATAATTAATTCATTGTTAAGATATTCTTTATTAAGTCATCAATAAACTTATAGAGTTTATAGTTAAGATCAATAAAGTTATTACTATTTCACATTTTCCAAATAAAGAAATAAATTTTACATTCAATCAATTTATTTCATGTTACATCATAAATTAACTTATAAATAAATAAGATGAACAAAAGTATTTCATTTCATTTCGATGCAAAGGATTTCACACATCGAAAATAAAATTTTTCTTTGCAGCAAATCAAGAAATGTTGGATATAATGGGCTAATCAAGATTGCGAGAAAATTTCTTTTATCAACTGATAAACTATAACATAAGCGACAGAATTCTTCTTCATTATAAGTTTAATGTTGTTGTCAAAAGATAAAAATCTCGTGAAACGAAGCATCTACAAGATGTCATCACGTTACATTGTTTCTACTATCTCTCGGATGATTTGAAGTAGATATTAATCAAAGTTGGGGAATATTATCAATGTTTCAATTATTGAATAGAATATTAGTTCAACTTATATTTTCATACTTTTAACTATTTTGAAAAACAAAAAGTAATGTTCTTTGATAAGTTTTTTAAAAGAAGAAAATGTTAATCTTATATTGTGCTAAAATAATTATGCATGGAAGTGATATTTATATCAACTTGTGCCATTTTTCCATTCAACAATGTCGAGATGTTGTTTTTACTAGCAATTTTATGTAATATTTATTCAGACATAGAAAAAACGACATACAAAATAAAATAAAGACAAAATAGTATAAGTACCAGATTTTAACCTGTTTTAAAAAATTATAAAAATATTTAATGTATATACGAAACTTTACACAATCTGCTTTTGTGCGTGTCATAAAAATATACATATTAAAATGCAAGAAAAAAGCATCACTGACGAAATTTATGGAATTAAAAATGAATATTTTTTTTAAAACAAAACTGTGCGATACATAGCGAACATAATTTTTTTTACTCTTTCTAAAGTCTATAATGTCTCTGTTAACAGTTAATGCATAATTTTTTTATCGAGACATGATGCAAACGCGTACCCTGCGCCTGTTAGTTTCGCGGCTCGTTTCTCGATCGCCCTAGTTGTCGCTCGGGTCCTCGCTTAATCGATACGATATTTACATACAATTAAGAAACGATTATAGGCACCGCGCGCGGGCGATTACGACAAGAGGACTGAAAAGTGTATCGTTACTCTCTTGTTATCGATATCGCGTCGAATTTCTGCTGCAAATTTCTTCAGCGCGCGAATATCGCGACCAAAATGGCAAATAGTATATTCCGATAATGATAGTACACGAGAACATCGGGTAAAATAATAACATAATCCAAACAAAGTTTAGCACGACAACTGCGAGGCGAACTATAATGTTATGTGTATCTCTCCACTTTCTGTAACATACGCAAGTTGCGAGTGAAATCGATATAATTCTGGTTAGTTGGCGGTTACGATACCATAGACGCGTAAACACAACGCTTTATGTGTTTATTCGTGACAACGGAAATGGGAGAACTCCAGGTAACTCCAATAATTTGTCCGTATATCTATTAGCAGTGCAGATTGAATATTCATCGATATTGTAATAATTTCAAACTATGCATATTTAATTACGAAAAATATTTCATTAACAACTCTGTGCTTTCGAAATACACGTATATAAAACTTCGTAACGCAATATTTTCCGATAATTTAAGAGATATCGATAAATTTCGCTAACACAATTTGTAATACCGGCTCATTCTCTCAAGCTTGCGCGCGCTTTCGCTGAAGTAATATATGTACATATTTTTTGTGCTTTATTTCACATTATTTTATAATACGTGTATTCCATATAGTGCCATATTTAGATGCTATCTTATGCCTAACGTAATTTTCACGCGATCGATCATTGTTCCCGTTTCAACTCGTATCGTGCTAAGGTTGAATCGCACCAACAGTCCAGGTTAACTACTTCGGATCAGCTATTTGCTATTTTTTTTTTTTTTAAATTACGCTGTTCCCTGCGATACAGGCAGAGTAGGAAAATCGTGTTGAACAGAGATAGCGTTAATCGACTTTTTCTACTGCCGGATCTCGTTCACGTATACACATGCGTTCTAATTTATATATCATATATTTGTCCTAAATTAAAATATATTTTCTTATAGATAATTCGCAAAACAAATAGATGGTTTATGAAACCGTCCTTTCCCCAAATAAAAAAATCAAAATAAATACGCATTTATTATAGAACTAATATGTTTTCATTTGTCAACAATGTAATAATTTGAATACTTAAATTCGCATTTTTAATATCGTAAATTTTGCGTTTTAAATTTAATCAGAGAGATTGAAAGTCATATAATTTCGATAGATTCAGATTTCGATGCGAGAAATACACGAAAATGATCTCCGCGCTTATTTCTGATAATGAAAACGAGACAATTGACATAAGATATGTACATATTTCCATATTTACAGTATCGAAAATCGAGATTACCGGATTTATACCGATTTTAACCAGAGATCCATACATCTAACGTACCAGTATATTGATATAAGGCAATCTCCTACGAGGAGGCATCTTCAATTCTTTAACAAACTCGAAACATTCTCGTCAATGACATCGAATTCTAAGCGACAGCGGGTAACTTACTGCGTTTGTCGAGCATAGTCTGAGCATGAGATGTCTTTCGAGGTGATTAGCACGCCTAACAAATCGTTATACGTCTATAAAGTCTCTGTTAACAGTTAATGCATAATTTTTTTATCGAGACATGGTGCAAACGCGTACCCTGCGCCTGTTAGTTTCGCGGCCGTGCTCGTTTCTCGATCGCCCTAGTTGTCGCTCGGGTCCTCGCTTAATCGATACGATATTTGCATACAATTAAGAAACGATTATAGGCACCGCGCGCGGGCGATTACGACAAGAGGACTGAAAAGTGTATCGTTACTCTCTTGTTATCGATATCGCGTCGAATTTCTGCTGCAAATTTCTTCATTAAATTAAATCAGAGAGATTGAAAGTCATATAATTTCGATAGATTCAGATTTCGATGCGAGAAATACACGAAAATGATCTCCGCGCTTATTTCTGATAATGAAAACGAGACAATTGACATAAGATATGTACATATTTCCATATTTACAGTATCGAAAATCGAGATTACCGGATTTATACCGATTTTAACCAGAGATCCATACATCTAACGTACCAGTATATTGATATAAGGCAATCTCCTACGAGGAGGCATCTTCAATTCTTTAACAAACTCGAAACATTCTCGTCAATGACATCGAATTCTAAGCGACAGCGGGTAACTTACTGCGTTTGTCGAGCATAGTCTGAGCATGAGATGTCTTTCGAGGTGATTAGCACGCCTAACAAATCGTTATGTAAACGGCAAGACTATAGTAGGGATAACCTTCGCGAACAAAATCATCAAGAAAATAAATGCGCGCTATCGGCCAGGTCAAGGAATCGTCCTCGTCAAAAGGACAAAACACATCTTGTTCCTCTAAACATCACGAAAAAGAATTCCAATTTTAAGAAATTTAAAATGTTAAGAAGAGGAAAAATGTGAAAATATGATTATCTGGAGCAGTTTTCAGAAATGTAAAATAATTTCGTAATTATTATTAATTGCAAATAACAATATAAATATTGTTGTCTAATATAAATATGATTAACTATAAAATATAAAAATTAACTAACAAATATAAGAGAACACACACATATCATCTCTATATTATATTATATAGATGTGAAATATGTGTGTGTTCTACATTTGTTAATAATAAAAAAATTATTATTTGAAAATTATTGAAACAAGTTTGACATTTTTCTATGTAAAATATTACAGTGCAAACAATATACTGTTTGATACCTTTTTCAAGTCTTGCGAGTTTATAAAGCTATGTGGATCGATGTCAAATATATGTTGATATATTTCAAAAGAAAGAAGAAAAATTGAGATTGTGTGGTACACATAAAATCCGCGGGCATATACCAGAAATCTTTATAGCGAACATAAAAGGTCACGACACACTCTCCACGAGATACCGACATAACACGCGAATCACAATTGTAATAAACTCGCAATCATTTTTGAGAGAGAATTATCTCATATCCCGCGCGTGAAAAAATGTCTCGCAATTCGTATTTTCTCATAAAGGAATCTCGGTTATTTATAAAAGATGCTCGCACTTTTTATGCAGAGCGTCAAGAACGATAATAACCGAGCGATGTAAATGCGGGACGAATTTTAATTTTTCGCGTTTCTTACAATGGAATATTACAATGGAATATTACTCTCTCTCTCTCTTTTTTTCTCGAAACTCAAAAATTATAAATAATTATTATAAAAGCGAAAGGGAGTAAAATAATACGAGCCAAACACAGATCATAATGCAAAGAGACAAAGACTTTCTGAATTATATGTAATTTATAGATAAAAACGAACATTTCAAGCTCTTCCGTTCAGATTATTTTCATTGTTGGAACATGTCATTCTTGTTATCCTGTTATTTCTTACAAAGTATGTTTTATATTACAATATATTTAAATTTAAAAAGCTATCATGTCGAGCATCTTCCATAAAAAATAGTACCATGATTATTATTGTGAAAAATTTTTAAAGCGATACATAATCGTATATAAAATAAACTGTTTTGATAGTTATGTATAACTTCAAATTCTGAGATATATAAACTTATATTAATAGAAAAGAAAATTTTTTTCGAAATTGTTTCAAAATGGATGGTTCAAATAATATCTCGCATTTTATAATATTATTATTATAAAAATTATTATTGTATAATATAACAATAAAAAAATATTGTTTTCAGAAAACTAATGGTTTAATAATAGTTTCATAGTCAATGGTAGACAAGGAAATCCGTGTTGGTAACATGGGCTGGATTCTACGCCCATATTTTCCACGAATGCCACCAATTAATGAGTCATCGAGGCATCAAATATCAGCTACCGTAATACTCTATGCGTATCATGCATCTTTCGAAACAGAATATATTAATTGAGAGATATATTAATTAAGAATTAAGAACAAAAAAAAAAGGAAAGTCGGTCGAATACTTTCCGCTCTACTATTATTGTTAGTTATTATATATACGATATAAATTGTAAATCATATAATAAATTTTTAAAAACTGTTTCGAGAATTTTGCAAAATTAATATTTGAAATACTCGTAGTATCTTAAAGAGATGTAAAAAAAAAAAATTCATAAAGGTTGCAAAGATAATATATATCAAAAAGAATATTTAATTTTAATCTTAATTATTTAATATGAGAGATTGAACCAAAAATATTCAGATAACAGAAAAAGTGAATAGATAACGATTTACCAGTGATAAAAGCAATCTTTTCGAATTATTGAATTAAAAGCTTGTAATATTTTACGTTATTGTTGATTTTCGATCATCAATAATGTTACGCTTTATCGATATCTCTTCGTCTTATGCCGGAAGTCATATATTTTGATTGAATCGATACATCTCCTGCTTTCATGCAAAACACGAAGGAGCATGTATTGCATATTCGGTACCGCGTCAATGATATCATTGACAAGTCGACGAGAGTCCACAAGCGTGACACAACGATAGCAACCACCGTTATCAATTAAAACGAATCTTCGCGAATTCGTAACCGGCTTCACGCACAATACGCTCGAATATTCGACAGGTGCAATCGTGTCGTATTTATGTGACGAATTTCGCTGCATTGAACCATGCACCGTTGCAACATTGTCACAATTAATCTTTTTATACGACGTGACATTCGTTTCAGCTTGACGAATATTCGTCGCGATGATCCATTATTAAAGTCAACTGACAGCTTTAATAGCTGCAAATCTTTTTGCTTGTGTTTCTTGTCTGTGTCTCGAGGTTTTAAATATCGTCGAAAAAACATCGTAAAAATATTCCAAAGTACGCGTACATGTAAAAAACATGTTGTGTAAGTCGGGAGAAGATAACGCAGAGTGTCCCCTAAACAATTTTGACAAGCTGCGAACTTGACAGCTATTCTCGAATGCTACCCAAATATGGAAATATATATATATCTTATATTGTACGATTTGTCATGAATGAATGCAGCCTACGATATTCGAATCATCACCGGACCATCGCCGGCGATGGGGGATACGTTCTCCATTCATCGGCGCCTCGCCAATAAGTGACAAGGTCGGCCATGGTCGCCATGGACCCGGGTACGACACACCGACCGGTTCGGTGGTCTCTGGCTGAGAAAACACCACGGAAACCGACGACGATGATCACGATGACGGCGACGACCTTTAGTTCCCGCTGTGCGAAACCGAGCGCACAGCGGGAACACCTGTCAGCTCGTGCGAGCGAGCGAGACGCCTGTCATCCGCCGCCGGTTACGCCTTCTCGATGACGAACCGAGCCGGTGCTGGCGCGATGAAACCGTTCCGCTCGATTCAACTCGCGAGCTAAATGACTCGCGAGCACCGAGCGTATCATGAGAAAAGATTAAGTTTACACGCGCCGTAACTCACACGGGAAAGTCGCGGGGCGTGAGTTACGCGTGTACACGAGTGCGTGAGATACGCGTGTCGACAGGGTTAGCTGGTGCATCGTGTACATAGGTAAGATAGAGATAAAGAAAGACAGAGAGCGACTAGCGCAAACAGAAAAAAGAGAGAGAGAGAGAGAGAGAGAGAGTAGTCTCTCTCGACGGGATTCACTCACCGCGACGAGGGCTGCTAATCTATCCTTGGTCATGATGAAGGGTGACGAGGAGTTGCGAGTCAGCGGGCGGTGTACGGAGCGGCGTGTCTAGCGGGTAATCCCATTCACGGTTTTATCCATGTACGACGTGCACGGCCACTAAAAAACTAAAGGAAACGACGGACGCACTAGCACCGCGAGAGAGGCACGATCGTAAAATCGATACACTCGCGAACTCGCCTTCTGCCTGCAGTGCTGTCCCGACGCGGCGCGCACGCGCCGATGACGTCAACTTCGTCTCGCAGGGACGACCTGCCGCGCCATGGCGCCCCCTGACAAAATAAACAACAACTCGAACAAGGATGCGATTTCAAATTCCGCGCCCTTTCGCAAAATACTTTCACGCTCACTTAACGAGTCTCATATTTTCACGCTTCTCTATTAATGTTTATAAATATTGACATATATACACTTTTATACGGAAGAATGTTTGCGTAGTCACGATAAAATAAAATATTAGAAGATCTATTGTAGCGTACATTTTTACAAATGATGTGAACAAATATAAATTTATGGCATATACGTGCCTTAAATGAAATATATGTATCGAGACAATGAAACAAGATCAATGCAAATAATAATAACATTAATATATTGGAATAAAGCTTTGATTAAAAAACTTCTACGGTATACATTTTTCTCATTTCTATGACAAGAGAAAGTAGAAAAAAATATTGAAAATGACCTGATTATATGCATATATATATCAAATAATGAAGGAAAAATTGAAAAAAAGATGGAAGGAAGAACGCGATTAAAATATCTTGAATTAATTACTTGGATCGAGACGATAAGTATCCAACTCATCCAAAGCTTCCTCGTGATATATGCTTCGTCCATATTCCCATTTTCCCGCGCATTCGACACTTGAAATAATCAATTTATTCCCGAAAGAAAGGAAACGTCCGTTCGCTTCCGCGAACGAATAAAATCGCGAAATCGCTCGCGAGTGTCTCCCTTTGAACATTTGCCGCCACGAGACGAGTCGCTACGTGAACCCACTGTGTTTTTCTGCGCAGACTGTATTGTACCGTCTCGTGCACGTCGGTGCACCGGCGACCGGCAACGAAATGGCGCGCAGATGTCGCGCTGATCGCGCATTTCCGGTAGTCAATTGCGAGAATTAAGCGTCCATCGAGGGAGAAGCGCGTGCATTCTCGTCGCAGAAAATCGAGCGAAAAATCGAATCTGACTTTTTCCCGTCGATTACGCACCACGTCACCCGCGACCACGCAACGTCGCGATTCGACGAATCGGCGAAGGTGGCAGGTCGCCTCCGCTTGTCTGTCTCAGAGGAACGCCATTGTGAGCCGTAGCGACTGTGCTGCGCGGTGAGTGTACCGTTCATTTTCACGTACATCAACCGTCCACCCGGGAAAATTTCGTACCCGCGTCGCCTGACACGTCCGAGACGCCGGGGAAAATCAACGGTAATTACGACGGTCCGCGTCGCCGATCGCGGGATACGTCAAACGCGGTAAATAAAATCGGAGGGAAATCTCCGACCTTTCGCGTGCGCGCCGGGCACGACAGGCGCCATTCCACGTCGCCGTTGCAGCGGCAGCGATATCGGTGAATTACGGTGTCCGAATGTGCGTGCTTCGACCGGCGACCGGCTTTTCCCTCCGATTTCCTCGCCGCGATTCCCACGTGCCCCTCACCGAATATCGTTTACCGCGAGGATACCTCGGGTACGAGACGCGCGCCGAACCTGTCTCGATCACGTTTCGAACGCGTGACCGCGAGGTTTTCCTGTAGCTTCGATCAGCGATGTCCTTGGTCAATTTTTTCAAGGGACTCTTACGTCCACGTAATCTTCGATTCGACGCGATTGATCTCTTTCTTTCTCTTTTTCGCGCCTTGCGATATTCTTCGCGAAAGTAGAAATGTTTGAACGCGAAAAATTGTCTCGCAAGATCCCGCGTTTTTTTTGCTCGCCGCATAAAATAGTAAGCTAAGAATTTAACCAGTTTCTTTCTTTACAGAAGCGTGAGATTTCCTAACATCGATCAAGTTTACGAGGAAAATTAACAGTAAAAATGGCAAACGAACCCGATATGCCCACCTTCAAGTGCGTGCTCGTCGGCGACGGTGGTACCGGCAAGACCACCTTCGTTAAACGGCATCTGACTGGTGAATTCGAAAAGAAATACGTCGCCACTCTGGGTGTAGAGGTGCATCCGCTAATCTTCCATACTAATCGTGGACCGATCCGTTTCAACGTCTGGGATACGGCCGGTCAAGAAAAATTCGGTGGTCTCCGCGACGGCTATTATATTCAAGGACAGTGTGCCGTAATCATGTTCGACGTTACATCCAGAGTGACGTATAAGAATGTACCCAACTGGCACAGGGATCTGGTCCGTGTCTGCGAAAACATACCGATTGTCCTTTGCGGTAACAAAGTTGACATCAAGGATAGGAAAGTAAAGGCCAAGAGCATCGTGTTTCACAGGAAGAAGAATCTACAGGTATTTACGTAGCGATATTTCAAATTATATATCTGTTGTATCTTGTTTGCGCTTCAAACTTTTTTGATCTCTTATCTTCTTTTAATTTTTTTATTTTATGATGATTCAGTACTCTGATATAAAGTGAAGAAATTGCACTGTCCCTCTAATCTGAATTCTAATTACACTGTTGCTCTAATCTGATATTATAATCTTACATAATATAAAGAATATACAATTTTTGCATTTTTTTACATTCCAGTACTACGACATCAGTGCGAAAAGTAATTACAACTTTGAGAAACCTTTCCTGTGGTTGGCTCGCAAGTTGATTGGAGATCCAAATTTGGAATTTGTCGCTATGCCTGCACTATTGCCACCGGAAGTTACTATGGATCCACAGTGGCAGCAACAGATCGAGAAAGATCTCAAAGAAGCTCAAGAAACGGCATTACCAGAAGACGACGAAGACCTTTAGTTTATTTAATACTGTGGATGTGGCCTTTACGGAGAGTAAGGCCTACTATGCGAGTGTCCCTTGGATGTATTGAGCACTCGTGTTTCTTCATATAGAGATCGAAGATTCTTTCTTTGAAGGAAGTAATAATTACATATTTACAAAAGCAATATTTAGTTCAATAAACATTATTCTGGATATGTAATTTTGGTATGATCTTATATTATCATTATCATTATTATAGCCTTAAAGATGGGTCACTTGGATGTGTTAATACGAAATACACACATGTGTGATTGTGTATGCAAATCTACCTACACTTGCATGTTTAGATTTTGTAAAATTCTCACATAAGGGAAAGATGATATCATATAAATCTAAAAATTAAAAATGGAACAAAGTTAAGGAGCGAAGGTGAAACAATTTGTGATACCAGTTCATAGAATACAGCATGCTGGAATTGTTGGACGTGATGTAATATGAAACAATCCAAACGAATTCTCTACATATTTCGATTCGCTCGCTTGTATAAATGTGCGTGCGTGCGTGTGTATGTACATATATACGTAAGAAATGGGAATTGTATAAGATGTGCTGTATATTAAACACAATCGCGTTAACCCACTTTAAGGCGTATCTAAACTTAACGTTATTTATTTTCTATGTTTTGTTTTTATACTTTTCTGACATCAAATATAGAATACAAACTGCCAATTCTGAAATAGATGTATACAATAGTTCGGCATGCAATGTGATTAGTTTACAAGAAAGAATCTTACGATATACAATTGCAAATTTTTATAAGCAAAAGATGAATGTACCATTTGTTCAACTTAAATTATATAAACAGTGTTGCTTTTCTATACAAGAGAAATTTTGTTAAGAGTATGTGAAACTGTTAATCCACCCTTTTAAATCATTGTTTCCAATAACTAATTAACAGAAAAAATGAGACGTGTAAATTACACTGCTGAATTTTTAGCATAGAAAGAAATTAGAGGAATGACATTGCAACATGTACATTTAATTCTTGTACACTTCTAATAGCGTTTCATTATTCTGCTTGAAGCAGATTGTACCATGCTGATGTATGAACTTTAATAAATTATGAAACTGTTTTTAAAGCTATAATCATCTCGAGCTTTTGTGTATTAATCATCGCGTAATTCCTGATATTTTATTAATGTATTATTTATTTAAGAAATTATATACTTAATCATACATTGTATCTCGTATAGATGCATGAAAACTGAGAAAGAAATGAGAATTATTTGATAAACATATGCTTACAATATATTTGAATTAATATAGACTACTGTCACACTGATCCTTGTTAACAAATAAAATTATAAGGGTCATAATCTATAATAAAGTGGTAAAAATGCCTCATTTAAATATATAATTAACTTATATATTTAGCATTACAAACTGCGCCAGTGTCACATCTTGCATACCTATCAAACTAACTTTCAGAGGAATGTCGGATAAACACTCATTTGAGTTTTGATCGAGATCCGACTACCTGACTTGACATTTTCTCTTTATTATATATAGCATGATTATGATTTATTTTGCAACAAATATTTCTCGAGTCTACTGTTTTTGTTGTTTCTTCAACTCCTTCTTCAACGCCTTCTTACCTTCGAGAAGGGATAGTCGCTCTGATTCGGTAAGTGGTTTCAGAGTGTTAGTAACCACACCAGTTCCTACAGTCACAGTTCCATCTCTTAATGTGAAGCGCTGTCCTTTCTCTAATACCATTGGTCTTATCAACTTTAGTATTAATCTGCAACAAAAGAACAATGAGTATATATATAATAAACAAATGTTTAAAGAACTATATATGTAAATGGAATATATCTTACGTGCTGTCTTCTCCTGGCATGGCCAAGTCCTTACCCATTACAGCACACTGTGCTGCACTATCCCATGTTTTAGAAAACATTTGTAATTGTGCCATATTCGCTATAGGTTTCTTTCTGCCACCTTCCTCCTTGCTCAATACATACACTTGCACTTCTATATGATCGTACGCCTTCATGCTACCAGGTTTGCACATTACCATGCCTCTTCTAACTTCGTCTCTCTTTAAACCTCTTACTAGAGCACCAAGTTGATCTCCAGCATGGGCTTCATCTAATATCTGATGGAACATTTCTATACCTGTGACTGTACTTTTCAAAACTTTGTTGTAACCAATAAACTCGCATTCCGTTCCCTTTTTAAGTTTTCCGCGCTCCAATCTACCAGTGGCCACAGTACCTCTCCCAGGAATAGAATATACGTTCTCTACCGGGAGTAGGAAGGGTTTGTCCAACTCTCTTTGTGGAGTCGGAATATGCTTGTCTACCACTTCCAACAACTGTAGGATAGCTTGCGCACCTATTTCAGGATTCTTTCCTTCGAGAGCACAGAGCGCACTACCTTTCACTACCGGGATGTTATCGCCGTCATAACCCATTTCAGAAAGCAATTCTCGTATTTCCATTTCTACTAACTCTACCATTTCCGAATCAGCCGCATCGACCTGGAAAACATTAAAAGATACGATTTTGATACTTTGTCATCTTTATTCTTTTACTCTTAATAAGCAATCTTTCACGTATGTTATACCTTGTTAATGAATACAATGATGTGCTGAATACCAATTTGTTTAGCAAGCAGCAAGTGCTCTCTAGTCTGTGGCATTGTACCATCTGTAGCAGCAACAACCAGTATAGCGCCATCCATCTGTGCTGTTCCTGTGATCATATTTTTAATGTAATCGGCATGACCCGGGCAATCTGTGTGTCCATAATGCCGATTTTCTGTCTGGTACTCAATGTGTGCAACATTAATGGTAATTCCGCGAGCTTTTTCTTCAGGAGCATTGTCAATCTCGCTATATCCCTTAGCTGTTGCTAGCTCCTTTTCGGATAATACTGTTTATAACAATATTTCATGTTTATTCATACTTTTGCTCATGTAGCAAGTATCATTAATCATCTTGTAAGAGTATAATAAATGCATACCTTTGGTAATAGCTGCTGTCAGAGTTGTCTTGCCATGATCTACATGACCAATGGTACCTACATTGCAATGTGGTTTGTCACGAGTGAATACTTTCTTCTCGGCATAAAATCTCTGGCTGATAACAGTTGGAAGAAACAGCCGACTATTCAATTGATGACGACGTTGCTAAAACAATATAGTGATATAATATATAATCAAAGAAAGAATTAGAATTTACAATATAACTGTATATGAAATATATTAAGTAATTAGTACATTAAATCACATTGAATCTCATACTATATAAAAGATATACATTTAGAAATAAAAATTGAGAAAAGTCAAGAAAGTCAAAGTACAAATATTAATGCGATGTAAAAATATCATAATCTTTTCTTGAAACATTGATTAGAGTAGCATATATTTGCGAAAAAATTTTCATTGATAACGATTTATTTGAATATTGGCCTCTATACAGCCACTGTAACTCGCTATTATCATCAGTTACGAATGCGTGTGGAGTTGACGAATCGTACGAATTATTGTTGACAACAAACGTGAACCTACGCATTTCGGCAATTGCTTCGTGAAGATGATCTGTCTGAGGGCTTGTCTTAGCACTGAAACAGAAAGATAGTTACGTGATGAAAACCGAGCTTTTCACTGATACTTTCGAAGCGCCTAACCACATTTCATCACGTGCGATAATCAAGTTAAGAAAGAGATTCCGGCGACAAGACAACGTAGAGAACGATCGGCGAAAGTTTACCGAAGAAACCCATCGCAATCGTTGACGCGTACACGCGTTTCTTATAGTCTTACCGGGATTAAAAATCGCTCTTGTAGAGATGAGAGCCATGTTTCTCAATAATGAAGTACACCTAATATCTAGCTCGCGTAAATTTCCAGCATATGATGGAAACTTGCCGGAGAGAACTAACGGAGAAATGAATGTGGGATGTGCTGCCCCCTACGCGACGTTATTCAACATCTGTGATAGCGCGGGGTCGAGAAAAGATCTGAATTATCAGTGGAGGCAAGGTAACTTTTTCCCTAGGGCGGAAATGTGAAAAATTTTACCAGTTGTTGGAAGTAATTGGACGTTGGACGTTTAGGCGCATAGAATGGTTCTTATTTTTAAAATCAACGCATACAAATCTCGTTTTTTTTACTTCTAATTATATATGTACGTATACATTTTTTAATTGTTATATTTATCTCTTTTAGGGCCACTTTGTGACAAAATAAATTTCCTACCTCGAGTAACACCCACATTTTATTTTATTGATGGTATTTTGTAGATACAGAAAGAATTATTAAATAATTTTTCATTTGATATGTGGAAAGAAAGATTAGATTTAGGAACGAATTATATATTAGTTTAATTTGTTGTAGCAATTCTACTAGTTGAATTAATTATTCAAGTTATATATAATTGGAGTTTGATTAAAATGATTCTAATATTCTAATTACATAAATATATAGAATGCACGCGCGCGGAATACAAAAAAGATTTAAAAGTGTACTTGATACCAAAATTTATTTAATGCGTTGCAGAAACAGTAAAACTAAAACACAAAAACATCAATGATGGCAGAGATGAAAAAATACCTGAGGAACTGTGTGATTCGCATAGAGGAGGCCAAGCCTGCACCTTTTGTGCAACCAGCACAAAAGCTGCATGTGTTCCTAGCTGATATAGAACAGCTTATTGAAGATGTACCTGAGGAATGTGTGATTTGCATAGAAGTGGCCAAGCCTGCAGCTTTTGTGCAACCAGCACATACGATCTTAACTGATATACCTATAGAAGAAGAAGAGCTTCTCACAGCTGCAGTGTGCTGGATACTTGGAAGTAGACCTAAAATAATACCGCTACGAGTGGTAAATGGATGAGACTTATAAAGCGTGCAGTGGCAAACTTTGTGTCAGATCAATTGCTGATATTTCTCGGCATGGCAGGTATAATAACACTAGTAAAAAGACCGACAGCAAATATTGAGTACCTCTTAAAACAATGGCAAATGATATGTGCTACAATGAGCATAGACATCTTCGCATCAAGAGGTGCTGTGCCTCCTTCATAAGTTTATAATTGCATTAAAAACATAGCTTAAAAACATAACCTGGACATATACACAGTTATCTGTGAATATAAAACTATTCGGCCTGATATTTAGGGAGCCCAAAAAGGATACATCAGCCATCATAAATGTGTACTAAGTCAGATAAAAATGGTACTGAAAAATTTTGGGTTGAAATCAGTAAATGTGATGTATAACTTTATAACGTTTTATAGTGCGTTTATAGCACATCAGGCCATGAATTTCAAATGCACAATAGAAGATGTAAAAGAAATGCATGGTTCTATATATCCATACATATGTGTATTAACTCTGACAAGTGCAGAACGATTAAATCATAGACTTTATCCTGATCTGTTCTATGCAGTAGTTAAGATGCAATTTATAACAAAAACTTAGAACCAAAGAGCAGATTATAAATGGCAAATATGCAGCCCACAATCTCAAAAGCGCTAATAGATAGGATGGCAAAAAGATCGTTAAACGAAGTGCTGGATATAGATTACGACGACGATCGAGGTCTCCCCAGCCAGAGATGCTGGGAACCGAGGAGAGGATAGCGATAGGCGGCAAAGTATCCAATCATCTTATTTAAATTGTAATAGAAATTGGTGTTAAATGCATTAATTAAACTCGCGACCAGCAACGTATGAGCATGTAAGATAATCAAAATATAAATCGAGCTCATGGGAATTTTAACTGACTATCTTATCATAAAACGCAACGCGCGCAGCGCTAATAATTGAGCGGAATAATTAGGTTCGCAAGAATAACGAGACGGAGAAGGATAACATTATCGTCATTATACCGCATCCCACTGATACTCACACGGATAACAGGTAAAATGTTTCACGGAGAAAAGATAAATGAGGCGAGATATCGAATTGTTCCTCGTGCTACTTCCCTTGCAATTTTGATCACGATTCGTACTCTTTATACATCTGTCAAATTACTAATTGTGTCGAAATTGTAATAGCGCTTCTTTCGATCCGTATCGAAAGAAATAAGCATTTATTCTTATAAGCTCGATGAATTTGAATATTAGAAAAAATTTTAAAAATTTGGTATAAATTAATTACCTAAATTCGAGATTTGATTTAAAACTAAAATTTATTTTAATATATCTTTTTTTTAATAGTAAATCTCCTTTTTTACATAATTTCCAATTGTTTCTTCTTATAGCCAATTAGATAGACAAAAATAGAATAAAATAGAAGGAAAATTTTAACACTGGTAGAGACGATCTTTAGTTTAAAAGACAATACACAGAATTCATAATTCTTATCAAATAAAATTTTAACAATTTTAAATTTTAATATTAGTTTCTCTCTGAATTATAAAAATAAATTATGATAACACAAGATTCGATAAGAATATATGACATATCATTTTGCATTTTTCATAAAATCGATCAATTTTCTCCAAATTCTCTAGATAGGATTCAATATTACCAAAAGGATTCTAAAGATGAAGATGCTAGCTTTGGCGATGACGATAATGATGTCGATGAAGAAGAGGGAGAAGGATGATTAAGGAGTTGATTGAGTACGATGGAAGGTCGCCAGACAGGTATAAGAGCCATACAGGCCGTTATTACTATATCCGATTGCACCGGCTCCATTATTCGATTATTTGCGATTCTTTCACTTCTGGTACGCTCTCACCATCTCTATCGTCTCGACTGATTAGTACCTGGATTATCCTGGTTGGAATAACGTATCGAATACATTTAATAAAAAATACTCGTGTGTGCAATGGATTTATCGTAATTTCTGTTATCATTTTCCGTAAATTTTTATCAGCCTGAAGTAAATTTTATTCTGATAATAATTTCGAGAAATCAATCATTACTAGGCAATATTAGGAATTAAATCTGAAAAGTGTAAACATAACAAAATTGTATAAGAAAATTGAGACAAATTATATCTTTATAAAGTTGAGTAGCTCTAATCAGATTATTTCGAAAAAGTTCTTTCCACTCTCTCTTGAAGAATCAATCCTTTTTTTTATAAAACTCTTAGATGCGAGGGAAAAAATGCAAGAAATAAAACTTGTAAATTCTCAAGTCATTAAAAAGTTTCTACAAAAGCCTTAACTTTTAATTCTTGAAGATAAAAACATTAATTCTCTCGAAGCTAATTATCTCGCTCGCGTAATTTGTCAACCGGTCGCCGTTACATCGGGTTTCTCTATTTCATTGATTGCAAATACAGACACCACGAAGCGCGCGTATAACGCGTACGATAATAGGCACTAAAAGGCGCGCGTAGAATGACGAAATAAAAAAATATAGCGCGGCGCTTGACCCACGGGCAATTGCACCGATGCACGCGTCTGTAAACGCGCTACGTGAAGCATTACACCATGGGATTCATGAATGTTTCATCAATGCGCGATGCGTATATAACTGTATATCCCCTCATGGGCCCTTGGTTGTAACAGCCGCCCGGTATTTCTTGCGCCGCAACACCTAATGGAATTTACGATTCGTTACGCCGCCGTATTTCACGGATCTGCACGCGACTTTTCGTAAGAATAACACACAGTGACACTTTATTACCCCGTCTTTACCTCATTGCGCGTCTTGGCGGGCCCCAGGTTTCCCGTTACGAAATGACACGGTGCGTCTTGTTTCGTGGCTACTCGCGTGGAATTTTCGAGCGATGATGATAACGACGATGTGACGAGGTTTCGCGCAAGCAACGTACATTATTACAGATTAGCGACATAGAAAGCGGTATAAGCTATCATATAAGACAAATATTAGGAATTAAATCTGAAAAGTGTAAATGTAATACAAAATTGTATGAGAAAATTGAGACAAATTATATCTTTATAAAATTGAGTAGCTCTAATCAGATTATTTCGAAAAAGTTCTTTCCACTCTCTCTTGAAGAATCAATCCTTTTTTTTATAAAACTCTTAGATGCGAGGGAAAAAATGCAAGAAATAAAACTTGTAAATTCTCAAGTCATTAAAAAGTTTCTACAAAAGCCTTAACTTTTAATTCTTGAAGATAAAAACATTAATTCTCTCGAAGCTAATTATCTCGCTCGCGTAATTTGTCAACCGGTCGCCGTTACATCGGGTTTCTCTATTTCATTGATTGCAAATACAGACACCACGAAGCGCGCGTATAACGCGTACGATAATAGGCACTAAAAGGCGCGTTTAGGCGCTTTTAGGCACTAAAAGGTAGAATGACGAAATAAAAAAATATAGCGCGGCGCTTGACCCACGGGCAATTGCACCGATGCACGCGTCTGTAAACGCGCTACGTGAAGCATTACACCATGGGATTCATGAATGTTTCATCAATGCGCGATGCGTATATAACTGTATATCCCCTCATGGGCCCTTGGTTGTAACAGCCGCCCGGTATTTCTTGCGCCGCAACACCTAATGGAATTTACGATTCGTTACGCCGCCGTATTTCACGGATCTGCACGCGACTTTTCGTAAGAATAACACACAGTGACACTTTATTACCCCGTCTTTACCTCATTGCGCGTCTTGGCGGGCCCCAGGTTTCCCGTTACGAAATGACACGGTGCGTCTTGTTTCGTGGCTACTCGCGTGGAATTTTCGAGCGATGATGATAACGACGATGTGACGAGGTTTCGCGCAAGCAACGTACATTATTACAGATTAGCGACATAGAAAGCGGTATAAGCTATCATATAAGACAAAGTGCTACCGCGTCGCGCTTCTTTTGCGACGCACGGTTCGTTGACTCTTTGATTGTAGCTCTACAATTCTAACTCGAAGGACGAATATTGTACAGTTATAAGTACAGTATTAGAGCGATATATATAAACAAGTGTTAAGAGAGAGAGAGAGAGAGAGAAAGAGCAAGAAATTCTTTTTAACACTGAGAAAAAAACGTTGATATACAGACGTTTCAAATTTATGAAGAGTCAAATCCCGAGGAGTGATTCACTCCTAATATTTTAATTATATATTACGAAAATAAGAAAATTTATATCTTATAATCTATAAAAGAAATTGATATAGATAAATATATATACAAATTTATATCGCGTTTAAATCTTTATGAAAAAATTTTGATATATACATCAAATTTATAAAGGCTTGAACCTCGAGAAGTAATTCAGTCCTAATATTTTAATTAAATTATGAAAATACGAAGATGGTTGAAGCTGACAAGATTTAGTAGTTGTGTTAATATGATCATGATTAGAGTTCACATATCGGAGTGAAAAACATGTGGCTTTTATGTAGCCCGTAAGTAAGCTGAAGCATTTTTGCAATCGCGACGAGCAGATAGACGTTTGTCGCGAGAAGATCGGAAAAATGCGCGGACACAAAAAATATGAGGCGAACCAAGACCATTAAGTCGTTTACGAGGATGTCGCCGGGATGTAAGAAACGGTAGCGTCCTGCGGTTCGCTTGGCCATTCGATTCGAGGCACCTGCTCGGCGGGCTCTTAAGTTACGGGTGAAGAAAATTGCGGAGCGGAATGCCTGTCTATCGAGAAGAAACTCTTCGAGATCGTTCTTCATGATCGCCGATTTTTCCCTGCCTCGCCCTATTACCACACACAGAGAATTTTTTTTCTCTTTCTGTAACGCAGAAGACGGTGATAGAGTTTTAATCACGCACGGATCGAAGCAGATGAGCGGTGATCGTCTTATCGGAGAAAGTTTCATTTTCTTAAGCGCATAAGATAATTGCAAAATATTGCTAAATAAAAGCCAAAAGAGCGGGAAAATAATTAAGATGCAATAACTTTACAATTTGTGATACAGTTATCATTATTTAACGATTCTATAATGGAGTAGATGTACGTCAGTCAATATGTGGACTTTGATAAAGGACTACTATGTCACATAACGTAATTTGTTTTTTGGAAAGATATAAATATCTTTTTGTATTGTAAAAAAACTTTAATTATCAGATGCAAAGTATACTATTAAGATTAGAATAAAACGACAAGAGACCAACATTATAAATGACTATTAGATTTAATAAATGATAACTTTAAAATTTAATAACCAACATAAAATCATCAACTCTGGTAGAGTATCATTTCTTCTTTATGTGATCATAAAGAGACGGGAAGACACAAAGCTATTCACTGAGTATCTATTCATTATTTTGCTGTTAAAATACCATATAGAAGAATCATGATTTCATGAATGATTATAAAAGATTAGAAGAGGTTTTCTAGACGACTTCGCGTAACGTCAAAGAAACATTTTGCTATTTAATACGGATGCTTTCCCTCGCTTCTTTCCATTTACTCCGTATCACTGGCTGGCAATCGACTCTGAGACGAAATGACACGGTGGAGATGCAACGCATCTCCAGATGATGTGTACGGTACACACATGAGAGAGTGGGGGAGGGGGTGGGATAGGCTGAAATTAAAGTGTAATAGGCTGAACGGTATAAGATATTAAAATCCACGAGCGGAGAAAAAGATATTTTCCATTAACGCTCATTGAGAGCACGAGCCTGCCATAATGCATCGCATCGCATCGTGCGTGTACGCGTCGATGACGGTCCGCATTAAATAGGAGTGCGTGTCTCGCCGGCCCGCAAAGTCATCTGACCACGAACACGAACACCGCCGGGGTAACAATCGGAACTGCCGGCCCGGCCGGCTGGCTGGCTGGCTGGCTGCTGGAGAATAACATTTGTTTGAAATCGTAACGGTGTTTACGGCCATGTATCTAACGCCGTGCAAACCGCAGGCTACTGCGTCTGTCTGTCCGTGGCTGTTATTATCCGCATCAGACGATCCGCATCGCGGATTAGCCTGATTTCGGCGCCATCGTGCGCGTACGATTATAATGGAAGATTGAGAGAGAGAGATTGATAAGTCTCGAAGAGAGTGGGAGATCACAGGTGCAGCATTAAAGATGCGATGGCAACAAGAAACAATCAATTGCATTTGCGTAACAAAGATTTATAACAAATTTCTTTGCTTTTCTCGATATTTGCCGAAGAAACAATCGGTTTCAGGGAGATTGTCGTTTTATATCGTGTACATTTGTTATCATACCGAGATGAGAATCGCTCGCGAGAAGCAATTCGATGATCGAGACTGGGGCTTTTATTGGCGCTAAAAATGTACCGTTTAGAGATACGATTACGCACATACCTAACCGGCAATATGATTAAGATAACCGCTTATTTACCTTGCTCGTAATGAATTGGTTACGTATGATATACGTGTCCCGAGGTAACGATTATCGGAGCAACGTCCTGGAACCTGGTCAACGATCCGCCACCGATGATCCGCGCCGAGATTCGTTGACAGGATAGATCGCGATCGATGACGGTGATAACAGAGCGTAAGATTCATCAAGGATTTATGCCCCAAGACGGAATTGCCAGTCAATCCTTGCGCCAACTCTT